AAATCAAAGAACATGGTCAACAAGACAAAACGGCAGCCTACAAAATGGAAAAAGATCTTCACTAACCCCATATTGGACAGGGAGCTGATCTCCAAAATATACAAAAAAAACCTCAAGAAATTGGTCATCAATAGAACAAATAATCCAATAGAAAAATGGGGTACAGATCTAAACAGAGAACTCTCAACAGAGGAATCTAAAATGGCTGAAAGACACTTAAGGAAATGCTCAACATCCTTAGCCATCAGAGAAATGCAAATCAAAACAAATCTGAGATTCCATCTTATACCTGTAAGAATGGCCAAGATCAAAAACACTGATGACAGCTTATTCTGGAGATGATGTAGGGTAAAGGGAACATTCCTCCATTGCTGGTGGGAGTGCAAACTGGTACAGCCCCTTTGGATATCAGTATGACGATGTCTCAGAAAATTACCTCAAGACCCAGCAATACCACTTTTGGTAACAAGGACATGTGCTCAACTATGTTCACAGCAGCATTATTTGTCATAGCCAGAACCTGAAAACAACCTAAACACCCTTTGATTGAAGAATGAATAAGGAAAATGTGGTAAATTTACACAATGGAGTACTACACAGCAGAAAAAAATAATGACATCTTAAAATTTGTGGGCAAATGGATAGATCTAGAAAACATCATATTGAGTGAGGTAATCCAGACCCAGAAAGACAAATACCATATGTACTCACTCATAAGTGGCTTTTAGACGTAAAGCAAAGAAAGTCAGCCTACAATTCACAATCCCAGAAAACCTAGACAACAACAAGGACCCTAAGACAGACATACATGGATCTAATCTACATGGGAAGTAGAAAAGACAAGATCTCCTGAATAAACTGGGAGCACGGGGACCATGGGAGAGGGTAAAGGGGGAGAGGAGAGGAAGGGAGGGGTGTAGAGAAAAAATATATAGCTCAATAAAAAAAATTAAAAATTTAAAAAAATAAAATAAAAAGAAACCTTAAAGAAACAAGAAAGAAAGAGAGGGAGGGAGGGAGGGAGGGAGGGAAGGAGGGAAAGAAATATTCTCCCTTGGGTGACTCTGAATTCAAACTAGTATAATTCAACTAGCATGCCCAACTACTTTGTCTCAGATTTTAACTGTATTTCAAGAAGAAAAGAAATATAAAACAGAAAGAACTTTATGTTATGCATACTTATTCTACTATATATCCAGTAAGTTATCAACCAACCCAGTATTTCCCTTTTGGAACTTCTGTTATTAGTACATTTCTGTCTAGAGTCTATGTCCTTCTTCATTCAAATTAATTCATAATTATTTAGGAAATAGTAAAGGAACAAAGTCAACTATAGAAGAAAGAAGAGTTAGCATGACACAGGTAAAAATTGACGGTGAGGGCCTAGGAGTGTAGCTTAATGGTAGTGCACATGCCTAGTATACACAAAGCCCTGGGCTCACACTCCAGTACCACTGGGGAAAAATAGTAGTAACAGCCAGACAAGGTGCCACATGCCTTTAATACCAGCACCCAGGGATGGAGAAACAGAAAGATAATTCAGTGTCAACCTGGGCTACATATGGGGACCCTATCTCAAAAGGAAAAAAAAAAAGTTAATGATGGGAGAAGGAAATAACCAATTAAGGTTTAACAATGTCAGTGGTAAATTTTTACAGTAAAGATGCAAACCAAATTACATTTGCAAGTAGAATATTATCAATACAAATTCAGAGTATGTCTGAGTCTATATTTCAATTTGTTGAATATACTAAATTATATAGTTTTATATTCTGAAAATTTCTGTCCATAATAAATATGTTAAATCCAATAATATTAACAAATGTATATTATGGGAGAGGAGTGTTTGGTTATATGAGATGTATGATTCATAATATACTCAGAAAAATTTCTGTGAAAAGAATGGCAAAAATAAGTTGTCAAAGAGAAGAAAATAATTATCACAATTGTGAGAAGCAATGATCCACTTCCTAACGGACGACACTGTTATTCTTTGTACTTTATTCATTTTTGTAACTATTTCATATGTAATCACTATCTATAAAACAATGGTTTAAGAGCTAAGAAAATCTGAGGAAACATTTGTTTTGGAAGAGTTAATTATCAAAAGATCCAATCCATTTTTTGCTAATAATATTTTTAAATAAAGACCATAAAATGTGAATATGAAGGGAAAATAATAATTTTTTCTTGATTTTCCAAATAAAATTAGCAATAAAGCTTTACTGGTACTTTTAAAGAAACTGCGTGTGTGTGTGTGTGTGTGTGTGTGTGTGTGTGTGTGCGTGTGTGTGTGTGTGTGTGTGCGTGTCTGTATCAAACTACCTGAAAGTAACTTTTTACTTCTAATGATCCCCCTTCAAAGCAAACACTACTATAAATATTTCTTTGACCACCTGAAAAGTCCTGAGGACTAGTACTTATTGCCTGTAATCACATGAAACAAATTTAGAAACAAATTCCTACAAGAAATTCCTTGTATAACTGCCCATTGCGTGTGTGTAGGCAGGTTTATCCACATCTATCAGTATCTGCTTTAGGATGGATATGTGCATTGTAAGCATAGTGCACAGCTTGCCAATATTAACATGAGAGGACAACACAGTATACCAATGAAGAACAGAGTGGCTAGCCAGAGTTTCTAAACTGAAACAATGTTTCTACGTCCTGGCTACATAATCTTTGGCAAACTGATCCGGTTTCCATTTCTCATTGGTAAAATAGAAATAACAATATATATCTTATAGGATTTTGTAACTGTATAAACAATGTACAAGACTGGCACAAAGTGTGTGCTATATAAACGTACACTATTATTACTAGAAGGAATAGAATACCATGTTCCTGAATATACTGTAAACATTCTTAGCAATCTGAATTGACTAATATCAGATACTATTTAAAAGGGACACCAAATGTAAGAACTAGTAAACATATGCCTCTAGCTCTGCACTCTAAAGTAAACAAGTGATTAAAAAATCTACATAACCACTCTAATGATACAGAACAATCTGAAAAGATTGTTTCCCAATTGAAGTGCAGCTATCAATTTCTTCCCTTACACAAGGGGGCAGTGATAACAAGAAAAGAACAGGGCTCTGCAACACCTCTTCTTACAGACAGTAGGGGGTGGCAGTACATATGGCTTACAGTCAGAACAAAACAAAACAGGAAGACCCAACAGAACTGCTCTTTATTCTCTTCTGGCCCTCTTCTCTTTAGCTTCAACAGGGCCTTGAGGTAAAGGAAATAGCTACAGAAAAGACTGAAGTTCAAAATAAATCAAGGAAAATCCAATTTTGTTTTGAAGGAAATGATCCCTCAATGAATGATTCTGGAACCAGGGTGAAGCTGAATTTTCAGATTATCTGGCAAATTACTAAATAAGAACAACATTCAAGCAGGTAATTTGATTTATAAGAATTCTAGCGTAACACACTAAAATTTCATTAATAATTAAATACACCCTAGTGAACACATCAGATATTTCTGCTTTTGTTTCAGTTACATAGACACTGGGTGTATATGCACATGCTATATTACATAGACACTGGGTGTATATGCACATGCTATATTACATAGCTCATCTAGCTGCCTTTTGTTACTTTTGAAATTCCAGTATGTTCTGACAGTTCTCTCAAAACAGATGTTCTTAAATGGGAAGTCACAACGTTTTGCAGCATGTGGAGACACACACACACACACACACACACACACACACGGGGGGGGGTGGAGGGACCAAGGAAGAGAGAACAGGAATATTTATTTCATTTGTTTCCGTTTTGGGCTCATATGCCTAAGACAATTTACCTGGGAATGCTACAAGGCACACTACATTGACAGTATCCATGTTGTTGCTTTTTATGCCAATTTACTGTATCCGTTTTTATCTTATCTCACCATCCCATCCGAACAGCTAGAACATACCAGAATATTTCACTATTGCCAGTCTCTGTAATTAACCGTTGACACAGCTTTTGGCTCCAACCTTTCAAAATGCCTGAAAATTTATCCCTTTTGTTCACCATATTGTTTTGTTTTCCTCGTTCCACTTATTTTCACCTGTGCAAAAGCCAAGACAGGGACATAGATGAAAAATAGTTCCCTTTGGCTAAGGATCTTGAACACACAATTATGGTCAGGATGGTTGGTTTGTTTGTCTTTTTGTTTGTGGTGTTTTTGTTTCCCTGAAGAGGAGCAGGAGAGGGGGGTGAAGACGTCCAATCTTCTTCCTAACGCTAATTATCATTGTTTATGTTTTGTGAGAAACATTTTAAACATTCCACACCTAGAACAGAAAGACAGGCTACAATTGCATGCCCTACATGCTGATGACAAAACCTAAAATGATTCTAGTCCTATTTTTTTCTTTCCCATCTCACAACCAACCTGCTTTTTTTTTTTTTTGCTTTCACGTGGGTACTTTCCCTATATATATAAAAAAAAATTGCTTATCGCAGCTCCTCTCGATTTCCTATGACAGAATATGTAGCAAAGAGCCCTATTAGTCTTTCATTATACTACACCTCCTTCCCCAAAGGAATTATTAATATTGCTAATAACACTTCTACCTTGCATTTCTACGCCACGGAGGCCAGCCCATCCAGTGCCTTTACCTGGCACATTTCACAACTACTTCTATGCTGCATTCAGGGACACATTTTGCAACTCGTTCTGCACCACATTCCCTGCCACGTTTAGCAATCCGCCTCGCATCTCATCCCGGTCCCCGTCATCCAAAGACTCTCCAGGTACCAAATATCAAGACTAACCTCGGTGACAGCCAAGTGGCCAACCCCGGAGCCCTCCGAAGCCGCCCTCGCTCCCACATTCGGAGGCAGCCTGCCTTCCCCACGCCTTCGCCACCGGAGGCACTTCAATCCCCGATCCCTGTCTCCCCGCTCGCCCCCGCCCCAGCCCCCGTAGCCGAGGCGTCGCAAGCGAACGCCACTGTCACCTCACCCTCAGCGACCCTCTTCCCTGAGCCCCCCAGTCCTTACCTGCCGCTCTCAGGGGCGCGGCGCACCTCGGGGTCAAGCCCGCGTGCCCGTGGTCTCCGGTGAGGACCGCGCTGCCG